AAACAATTCTGTCGTAATTAGAAGTTTGATTTAAATGAGAGGAAAATAAATGAATTGTCAAAATAGAAATTCAAGCTTAATGAAAGTTTTTGATTTATCTTAAAAACTCATAGGTAAAACTAACTTTGTATTTATTTATATATAATCTTTATTGTTTCAGAGAAATTGATTTAACATCATCCTATATTTTCTGTAGTTTTTCTTGAATATTATATAAAAAGCATATTAATAGATTGTTCTGCAGTGCATTTTTTGAAGCTGTTCATTTGCAATAAAGGAGGTAGATGAAATCCATTTGCACATATTAGTTAAATTGCCCAGGTTTGATGTATGAATGTAACACGTAACATTTTGTTTCACCTGAATTTAATTACAAAATTATGTCAAAGATTGCACCAGGTGTGGCTAACCGATTACACAGTGCACATTTTATTTCTTTACAAAATATAAACATCAAGTATTCAACTGAATATACCATAAATAAAGCGTTAACTCCAGGTCCAACCCACTTTTTTTCATAGTGTTATAATAATAACCAGCAAACTGTCAGACAAAATGTTCAGATTATGAGTTCAAACAATGTTTATTGAAAATAACAGTTTTTAGGTACCTATATCTGCATTTATCAAGAACTGTCTGTAGATTCTTCATGTTGTTGATTCAAACTTAATTCATCAAGAATCAAAGCATATTTTAGACTGCGATGTTTCAAAACTGTTCTTTGATCAGATGTGATGGGATCTTAAATGTTTTGGTTGAACTGAGTGAAAACCTGGAAGAAAAAAGTTTATCAGTTGTAGATGTTCATACAAAAATAATTTCATCTTGTGATTTGTGTAATATTTTGCTAACAGACACATAATTGCCAGCCTTTCACTTTTCTTGTGCGAGAGATGTATTTTTAATAGATCATCATTAAACACATTAATTAGCCTGATGTTAGAGCAGCTTCTCGGCTATTTTGGACATTTTTTTTTCCATGACGTCCTAAGTGACGCTTTGGTATTCCTCCATCAAACCTTCTCCACCATTTCCACTACCAGACCAACATTTTATGCCCCATCTTTCTTTTAAGCCCTCATTACTTTCCACTTTGGCCTCACAAGGGGATCACGCAGCCTCATCCCGGCCCTCCAGTGGCTCTAATATTGGTGCCAGCTGGAGGCAAAAGCAAGATACGTCACATAAAATTGCAGGACATTAGATTAGCCGGCTATTTCTGTACCGTGTTGATCAGTGAAATGTGTTTTGTATAAATCGCACTATTCCYAAAGATGCAGGGGAAAAAAAGGAACAGATCAAAATTAAATCCATTAATGTTGTAGGTTACCAAAACAAGTTTAATGTCTCAGTTGGGAGAGAGGTTTCCAACACAGAAAAATGCTTCATGATTTTTTACCCTAAATTTTTATCACTCAAAATGTGAGTTCAATCAATGAAGGACAAAAAAAGGTTTGGATATTGCGCACTATGTGGGTCAGTGACATTTGAACTCTAAACTGAAAGGGAAAACTAAGTCAGTATTTAAAGACATGTTTAGATTAGAAAACATGTAAAGATGGTAAAATACAAGAAAATTCAGAGGGATAAATACATGTGTAAATGATAATAAGAATTTACCATTAGGTTCTATCAAGAGCATATGACCAATAAATATCTTACCTGTTGTAGATAACTCTTTGAACCACCTCAGTTTGGAGACTAGATTGATGAGCTAACTGCTCAAAAACTGAAGTGAACTGCTGAAGCTGTCAAAAACTCCAGTCTCATAAATGTTGTAGTGATTCATGTGAAACACTGTTTTATAAAACTTTAAACTGCAGTTAGTTTCACAAAACAAGGTCAGTTAGATACAATTCATTGTTTATTTTTAAGCACTAACAGAGACGGAAGCAGGTAACTTTTGGTTTTTTGCTCAACTATTTTACTTGAAGTTGACAGACAACTGTCTGTTGTTGCAGGTGTCTCAAATTCTTTGATTTAGTTAGCTTAATGTCCAGAGTTGTATTTTCACACCTACTTGGGAGCTTCTTATGACAAAAAAAATAAAAACCCTGATTGGAAGCATCTGGGGTATCAGAAGCTCAAAGCAAGTGTCAATAGTAACAGAGAAAATAAGCTGTTTGGCAGAAAAGATCTGGCAATTTTTCCATGTGCTCAGCTGCTCTACTGCGCATCCCACAAATGCATGTTCCTTACAAATGTTGCACCATTTGAAAGAGAAATAACCAGGTTTACCAATGGTATAAAATATATTGTCAAGAAGCATTTTTACAATAAAGAAATAACTTGCCAAACACAAATTTCCTTACTTTTTGTAAGTTTATACGTTTAAGCAAAATTAAAAACCATTGCTTATAAGCAAAACAATGGTAGTTTCAACTCTCCTTTAGTTGTACTGTAATTTAAAGGCATCCTGGCTTTAGTCCCTAAAATCTTTTTCTACAAACTGGGGTCATTCAAAAGCTTTACAAGAAGTAAGATAATAATTGATCATAACATCTCCACAGAATAAAGTCTGGACTCAATCTTGATTGTCAAAMTTAATCTCAGTCTTGTATTCTTTTTTTATCCACTCACTTGTTAAAAACACATCCTTCCTGACTTATTTCTGTTTTTTTACAGGAGTTGACGATTGATTATAGTTTGTGCTGGACTGAGCTGTGCACCTCCGTGAGCCCTGTGGCTGTGTTTCACTGAGGCATGAGTGTGGGAAGAGCTCACCACCACAGCTTCCTGTCTTGTGAAGACAAAGGACTTCGACTGAGTACCATGCCTGCCGTGGGCAGCTTTGGAAATGGCAAGATCCACACGAGGCGCAAATGCCACAGCCGGTTCGTCAGCAAGACCGGACAATGCAACATCCACTTCTCCAACATGGACGAGAAGTCCCAAAGGTACATGTCGGACATTTTTACGACTTGCGTGGATGTCCGCTGGCGATACATGTTCCTGCTGTTCAGCCTGGTGTTTGTGGTGTCCTGGTTGATGTTTGGCCTGGCGTTCTGGCTCATCGGCCTCCTGCATGGCGACATGAGCAGTCAGGGGAGTGGTGACAGTTTTGTTCCTTGTGTCTCAAATGTCAAGACCTTCGTGGCAGCCTTCCTGTTCTCCATAGAGACCCAGACAACCATTGGGTACGGAGCCCGCTACGTAACTGAAGAATGCCCTGCGGCCGTCTTTATGGTCGTCTTTCAGTCCATCATCGGCTGCATCATTGACGCCTTTATGATCGGCGCTATCATGGCCAAGATGGCGAGGCCTAAGAAGCGTGCAGAGACACTGCTGTTTAGCCACAATGCGGTAATCGCCATGCGAGACGGGAAGCTGTGCCTCATGTTCAGGGTGGCTAATCTGAGGAAGAGCCACATCGTGGAGGCTCATGTGCGAGCTCAGCTGGTGAAGCCCCGCTACACGGAAGAGGGAGAGTACATCCCCTTGGATCAGATTGACATGAACGTTGGATACGACAAAGGCACGGACCGTCTATTTTTGGTCGCGCCCCTCACCATCATCCACGAGATCGACGAAGAAAGCCCGCTGTTCGGCATCAGCAAGCAAGACCTCGAAACGTCCGACTTCGAGATTGTGATCATACTGGAAGGGCTGGTGGAGGCCACGGCCATGACGACACAAGCTCGCAGCTCCTACCTGCCCTCTGAAATCCTGTGGGGTTACCGCTTTGAGCCGGTCATCTTTGAGGAGAGGAGCCAGTACCGGATAGATTATGCCTACTTCCACAAAACATTTGAGGTACCGTCCACGCCCAGGTGCAGCGCCAAGGACATGGAGGAGAGGAAGTTCCCCACCTCTGGTGCCAACTCCTTCTGCTACGAGAATGAGCTGGCCTTCATCAGCAGAGATGAAGAGGCAGACGAAGGTGACGAGAAAGAGCAGGACAAAATGTGCTCGTCTGAGTTGACCGCGACTGATCGTAATCAGCCATCCTCCCGACGAGAATCAGCAATTTAACTTTTTCCCAAATGACCAAGACCAATAAAGTTAATCCAGCTGACATGAGGACACAACAGAGGACATCTCTGCATCTTTTTAAAGATGAAATCTTTCTTCACTGGAAAACCACTTTTCCCTTCTTGAGATGGTTGTTGAGCTTTATTAGACTGTTCTGCTTTAACCATACAGTGCATGGAAACAACATGATCAAGCTTCTTGTACAAATCCTCTAATATGCAATTTATGAAGGAGTTTGTAAATTTGCTTCTGTCAATATTATAAATCAGACTCTAGATCTCTTGGTAGCACAATGACTGCCAACAACTGAGTTTTCTAATTGATGGAAAAACTACAACAAACTCATTGAGACAGTTTTAAATATTCAGTTACACAAAGTTGATGCAGTTTTGTTTTTGAGAAAACTATTCATATCTATATTTGCATAATTCAGCCAGTAGGACACATCTGAAGTCTGTTTGTTTGGTTTCTTTTCAGGTTCTAAGAAAAATATGAAGGAACTCTGAACACTTCTGTTGATTTTTGTTGTTCCAGTTCTCAAACTTTGTCAATTTTCAGCAAACATAATGCATTTTTCCTCATTATTTTTAAACAAATATACATTAATGAACTTTCATAGCTTAAGTTTCAACTTCTGTAAATAATACGGGAGGGGAAAAAAACTAAACAAAACCCAGAAAAAATTAAGAAAAAAACAAACAAACCAAGAACCCATAACATAACATTGTTAAGAAATGTCTCTTAATCCGCTAATTGTTTGACAGATTAAACACTAAGCATCCTGACAATCTGAGGATCATTAGGAAAATCTGAATTAAAAAAGTTTTCTTTATCTTGATTTGCGGTGAAAAGATAATCAGTTTTCAAATTTCTGCCAAACCAAATAATAATTTAAAATAAAATATGTTTTATTAAAACATTAGGATTAGTTTAGAAACTGTGACCAACTGTGAAAATAGAAGTTTATTTTGTATTTTTTAAGTAGTGTTGCAAGTTGCATATACATAAATATATATTTTAAAATAAGAACTAATAAATGTATCTTATTGCTGCCCAGGTGGCTGAAATATACCCTAATTTCATAAAAAAAATCAAATTAATTAATATCAGACAATGTGAGCCATGTTTGAGAGCTGTAGAAAAGAGTCATGAACAGAAGTTTCAGCACTGAAACTTCAATCTTTACTTATTACATACTTACATACTTTAATGCAAGTTTAACATGAATGAAAACTGTATAAAATGAGGAACTGTTAGARATACTCACAAAGCTTACAATCAACTTATTTTCTCTCAGCACACAGCTTATTCTGATATTAAAAAAGGTCATAACTCCCATCATTTAGCAGAAGTTCTCATTTAGAAAAACAAACAACAGGAAAAAAGGACCTTTTAAGTAACTTTAAGAGACAAAAACTGCAGAAAAATAAATTAACCTCACTGTTTCGCCTTCTACTCTGAGATCAAAGAATAGAAACTAATTTTGGAGGCAATATAAATTTAAATTACAGTATTCTAAAGTGATCCACAGTCAGCAAGTCTAAACTGGGATCGTGTTTGTGCTGAAGTGCTCATCGCAGCTTCAGATCATGATCTGTCTGACCTCATCTGCGTGTCACACACTCCCTTTCCTCTACCAGTCAATACATGAAAACCAAAATCATACCACAGTCACTTTAAAGATATGCTTCATTCTGTTTTTACTATATGTATATATATATATATATATATATATATACTGTATATTCATCTTGTTGCAGAATTATTCTGTTCTTTTCTATTCTGATCACAGTGTGTTTATGAATCTGTTTTCTCCTCCCATGATGAAAGACTTTCCCCCCACATTACTCAATGTAAAAGCTCTATGTGGGTTAATGCGCACCTGACGGCCATTTCAGCAGGTTTCAACACATTTGTTGTTGTTTTTTTCCACATTTTGCTGACTTGTGCTAAAAGTAACAGAACTTGCTCGCTCCAGAAACTGAACGGTGGTTCTGATGAACTGAGAGCAGGTTCAGAGCTTCCTTCCCTGAAGACACAATTCAGATTTGTACAGCTGCACAGCTCTTGTGGTTGTAAATGTATTTTTACACTGAGAAAATAACAAGAATCAAAACGGTTTATTTTAAGCTATAACACTTKCAGTTTTGTTGAGCAAGCAAGCAAAACGTTTGTCTGACTTTGAGCTCTGTTCCTGTTGTCTTCCACTTGATGCATGTGAAGCCATTTTAAACCTGATTTGCACTTTTTTGTTCTTTTATTTTGTTGTGTGAAGCAACGTTTTAAACAGTGACTGATTTACTGCAATAAAACATGACAAAATCAACAGTTTTCCCTTTTAAATTTTTTGAATAGCTCAGACATACACGGCGGCTCGGTTGGTAGAGCTGTTGCCGCTCAGCAAGAAGGTTGCAGGGTAGAGTTTACATGTTCTCTCCGTGCATGCGTGGGTTTTCTTCAGGTACTTCAGTTTCCTCCCACAGACCAAAAATGTGACTGTTAGGCTAATTGGTAACTCTAAATTGTGTCTCTAYGGACTAGTGACCTGTCCAGGGTGTACCCCACCCTTCACACAGCAACTATATGGGCACCCGTGACCCTGAAAGGAAGAAGTAGGTAAAAGATAATGGATGGATGGCTCAGATCYATTGAAGCTGAGTTATATGGAAAAGTTACAAACAACTAATATCTTACTTGTTGCAGATCCCACTCACAACGATATTAGTTTGGAGTAACATAATTTAATTTTGGATGAACTGACAAGCTAACATCACAAATACATCACCTTCCTTTAAGGGTCAAGGCTTCATTTAATTGAAATTCATGGGAACATTGTTTTAGAAACCTTTACATCTTTATTATTTCTGCATAATGTAGATCCTCACATAAAATTCTAGAGGTCATTTGCGAGCACAAACAGTGGGCATAGCCGCTAGCATTAGTACTTGGCCAGAATTGAACTGTTTTGCAAACTGAGGCCTTCCAAAGGTCTATTTTCATATCAGATGTAGAAAAGGAAAAGGTTGGTTTTACTCTTTTTAGCATTATTATTTTTACAAACTAAGACAACGTTAAAACATACAACTAAAATATCATACCTTGATGCTCTTCTTTAGTCATTTTACTTTTCAGAGCATGTGATTTATGGTGAAACTTCAGTGTGTGAGACATTAAACTCTTTTGCCAACAAGTTTCATCGGTTTCAGTTCTGACCTTTTTTTTCTGCAGCTGATTTCACACCAGCTGAAGGTAGAATCTGTTACTTTTGAGACGCGCTGTGAGATGGACGGTGCTCTGAGAATAAACCCGGGACGCTTCCCACCCACTCTGCCGAGTCGGAGGATGAAAAGCCGTGTGTGTGGGGGTCAGGATTCGAACACGCAGAGTGGGCTGCTGAAAGGAGCATTCGGCCTTAATTGCAGCAGCTCTGTGCTTCCCTTCAGCTGCAAGGAGGTGGATAAAAAAGTGATTTTCTTTCCTAAAGACATCATGTATTGGACTCAGATCACATCTTTACTGCAAAGGAGTTGTTTTACTATAAAACCATCTGTACAAAGTTTGAATTTGTCACAGTTTGAGCTTCAGAAATCAACCTGCTTTAATTGCTTTATAAATTAATAATGAATTTAGACATGAATGACATTTAGACTTGGAGGTCATGTGCAGTTATTGTATTATGTAATCTTTGTTTTAACTGAAACTAAATATTAAGGCTGTTCATGGCTTATAGATAAAGCCTGATCCAGACATAACCTGTCAGGAAAATCTCTCCACCTTTTTATGGATATTTTATCGCAGCCGCTCTTTCCAATAACAGCACAATCAGGCATTAGAAAAGGTTTATGTTATTCTTCTGAGGGGCGCGAACGGCTTAAAGGTGAAAGGAGTGAACTTTAGGACGGAGGGGGGGGAAAGAGAGGAAACTAGTTGTTGGGTGGACCTGACCGACGTCTGAGTCTGAGCAAAATGAGTCCACGCAAACTCAAAAAAAAAAAAAAAAAAGATGGACAAGCAGCTAAAGTCTAAAACAATAACTTTGACAGAACTTCAGAAAGTCTGAAGAACTACAAACCAATGACTTTAGAAAATCACAAAAACGCCTGGCTGCTTAGGAGGAAAATCTAAAAGGGAAAGGTCAAGACTTTTGCACAGTAATGCATGAGCCCCTAAACTAAACTGCCCTCTCCCAGTATATATATA